GCATGAGATACAGATTTTTCAATATTTAAAACTGGGGGAAAAGGGGCGTAACCGCCCATTTTTAAAACTTTTCCTCCAGTTTTTAAATATTCAAAAAGTTGTATCTCACTCACCGTCACCCAGTTTTTTTTACCCGCTCCTCCCCTCCCACCCCCCACCCTAAATCCGCCCCTGCTTCATCATAAGAGTGGTTGGAGGACCGGACCTCGACGACCATCGCCCCCTATGGATCCGCCCAGAAAATAATCATTCTGTGAAGCCCAGTCGGCCAAATGCTGCAATTTAGAATATGGATGACATTGTGCTTTAAGGAGACACCGCTAATATTACAGAAAAATGTTGAGGGCGCTTGACAGATATTGTACTATGTGAGACTTAGATGTATAGAAAAACAAAAACAATGGTTTTCAAAAGGGAGGAATTGTTAGGAAACATAAAAATAGGTATTTGAAGATTATAATATTGAAGTCGTGCCGTATTATAACTAACTGGGTGTAAAAGTCAGTTCGAGAGGTTCGATGTCAGTAGCGATAAATACATTAACAAAACAAGCAGAAAAGTGGTTATTTAAGAGATCAAAGGTTTTCTTGATGGATATCTCCATGTTAACCCTAATATTATAATGTATATGTTTGATAGCATGGTTGTTCCAATTCTTCTTTATTACTCAGAGGTATGGGATTTCGACCAATGGAGAAGATATGAAAGGTGCACTCAAAATTCTGTAAAAAAAATGGAGGTATTCCATATTCAGCTAATAACGTAAGGAGTCTAAGCGAACTAGGGCACTTTCCATTGTGGATTAAAGTTTACAAAAAGAGAGTTTCCTATTTGATAAAATTGTAACTATGTATTCCGACCGCCTTCCGTTTAAGTGCTATTCTATGCTGAACCCATACGGATATACAATTTGGGCACTGAAGTTTAAACAAATACTTTATGAACAAGGCTTTGGTTTCGCTTTGCTAAACCAAGAAGTAAGTGATTCTGAATTATTTCTTAAGAATTTTGAAACTAGATTAAATGACAATTATTTACAAAGTTCATTTACTATTGATAATCCTTCTTGCAAAATGACTCTTGTAATAATATTGACAACCAACTATCATACGAAAACCGAAAATATATTTCATTAGTAGCCAATACGAAACACCGTTGATGCAACCCTAATTCGCACTGCGTCCCATTCCTTACTTATAAACACTAGACATGAAGCAGACCCAACCGCATGCTATCTTTTTGACGCTAACGAAATAGAAGACGAACATCATTTTCTTTAATTTGTACAGTTTACAAAAAAGAAAGAGTCTATCCTGCCTTCCTTTTTTTCTGGTCAAATCCAAATCATTATAAATTCCTGTGATTATTTAAAGATACTCAGGTACAGTTTCAGTTATCTAAGTTCCTTTATGTTGCTTTCAATATTAGAAACGAGCTAATAACATGTAATTAATATGTATCGATTATGTTATTGCAATTATTATATTTATGGCCTTACTCAATTGGCTGAGTAAAGTTGAGTAGTTGCCTGAATAAATGAATGAATATATTATGGAAAATGTTGATAAAGTTTTTGATGATGGATTTTTTTTTTTTTCATTTCACTTCAGGAAACTAGCAAAATCGCCAAAGGATACTTTACAACAGTCATGAATATTTTAGTAATGTTTGTAAAATATTTGCGCAGCGGGCACCGTTTGGTTTCCCAAGCTCGAGGTTGGGGTTTCAATCCCTCGCTGTGCATTTCACTTATGTCCTTGAGCAGGCAGGCGCTTTATGTGCATTGCTTCTCTCCACTCAGGTACCTAGTAGGGTTAAATGCTAAAATACGCTGATGTAGTCGCTGTAACGTTATGGAATACTCCCCTTGGGATTTTGAGTTTGCGTTCCATACGCGTAAAACAAAATGGTTTTATGAATGGCCACCACACTGGGTAGGTTTATCTTAGGACTGACTGATCAAACGGAGTGGTAGGGTGACAGACAGAAGAGGAGGTATCTACTTTAATGGAACCTTCAAACAGTATGACTTTCATGCAAGGCAAGTGTGTTAGTCAATTCAAATGGATGATCTGAATGGGAAAAAACACTTGAGCAGCATAAAGCTTTATAATTTTCTCCAATCGATCTTTCTTTGGCAGGTTCTTTCAGGCACTACTTGGTTTTCAACAGAAAATGTATTTGCAGCTGGCGCATTATGAAGTTTGAATATGTCGTTGGGTAAAGTTGAAGTAGAAATTGATCGCGATATTGGTTGGTTACGGATATATTGTTTACATCTAGCGTCAAAAAGTCAAAAGACGTTTGCGTCCATCTGTATAGATTTCTATTAGAATCAACTTTACCATTAAAGTTTGTTTTTTTTATTCCATGTTGTTGAGTGAGTGGTAGAGTGGTTCTTAGCTATCAGCAAAAATTTGACAATAGTACAAATAGTTGAAGTGTTGATTGTGAAGTTGACCGGTGTACCGTATGGATCATTCAGTCAAAAGGACAGCAGATTCCTGTTAGAGATTTTGTCTGAAAGTCATTTGAATAATTTCGTAAGAATAATCAACTATTTGTTATTGTCTTTCAAAGTTTTGTAAAAAAAAAAAAAGAAGTAAAGGTCAAGTACTCAGTGATGGAAATTATGTCACTAAAAATATAGAATCATGATTTCTATTCAGGAGTCAATGGGCCAGAAGAATATAATTTTGGAAAAGTAGTGCTTGATCCACATTTAAACATTAAGGCGATGATGTGCTTTATAATGATAAAAATAACTACGTCGTATAAATTTCAGTTGGGACAGAAAGTTGTATGATTTATAGGCAAGCAATAAACACAGAATGGAAGAAACATGTCAATATGACAATACCAAAGTGTTATGTAAATACAAATATAATGTTCACGAATTATGGGTATCAGAAAAATCATTATATATGGTAATGCTAATTTGACGGTGATTGGCTTCCCCCCTCCCCATAGACACACTTTGCTCGGAAAAAGCATCCCTATTGAAAAATTGTGCCTAGGCCTGCACTATGTTTATGTGACAATACCAAAGTTTTCAGTTTATCAATCATTTAATATGTGAGCTATATTATTATTATATATTTATATTAATGGTACAGCTTAATGGTCTTCAGGTAGTGGTTAATTCTTCCGACAATTAAATACAAAGCTATTTCGAAAAGAAATTATTGATGCTATTTTCAAGATTTAGTATTCCATTCTTACCTCAGCCTCAATCATAGTTGGGACTGATAGTGGAACGTACACGCAAGCCAACATACCTGTAAACTTCCCAGGGGTAAGCCTTGGGTTCATTTTCACACGGGTGTGGATGTTTTAGATGAAGGAAGGTCACCCATTGGTGGCTCCAAAGTTTTGCCGTCATGTCCAACAGAGGGGTCTGAACTAATGGGCCGACTAGACCCTTGGTCAGGGTTCCGAAATAATAAATCCCTGATAGGGTTGGTTCACAGAGATAGTTGTTTTTAGTATGGCCCAAATATTTATTTAGATAGGCAAATTAACATTTGTGTCAAACGATTTTGCTGTGGTGTCGTATGACGGTGGTCCGGATCTGTCCAAAGGAGAGGGGAATGACCCTAGTGGGTTTTTATTTCATAGATTTACAATATTTATAATAATCATTGAACAGGTTCTGCGTTAGTTGACATAAAATACATGTACAGAGAGAAATCTTTAATCAAACTAAGAAAACAATTTAATCAAGCAATAACTTATACGGTACAACACAATAGAATCAGCTATGTAATATAAGAAGTGTTTATTTATATTAATAATAATAAATATAATAACAATAATAATAATAATAATAATAATAATATATCAGACTTATAACGCTTAATGCCAGCAAGGCCTCTAAGCGAGTCACATTAGTATCGTAGGTTTGTACGTTTTAATTTAAATTTAGTACTATTTTTAAGATCATGTAATTCAGCTGTTTAGTTAAATCTATAGACACATGAGATAGTTTATGAATTGTTAATAAAATGTAATGTTTGACTATTTAGGCAGATTAGTAGACTCAGAATTACAATGACAGTCCCCGCCATCTTCTTCAACATGTTTCATTGGTTAAAGTGTGGGCAATGCGCACTAAACACCTGTTTGAATAGAAATTGCCATCACACTGGCTTTGGCAGGAGGCTCTGAAAACACAAATTGCGAATAATTATTTGTTATTGATTTTTATTTGATTTAATATATACCGCCACGCAAACAGTCGAGAAAAACATCATAAATAAACATAATAATGTTGATTTTACGATAAACAAGATATGCACTTACCTGATTGCCAATTGATGACACCGTCCGTGGGGGAATAGAGGAAGCGAGGTGCTGGGTCACCCTGTGCCCTGTCCCATAAGCATACCTGATGGCCTGTAACAACTACCCAGCCATTGTCATTGGGGCATCCGCCGTGATTCTTGCTTATGTACCACATACGACACTGGGGACAAGTGCTGCAAAATATGATTTTAAAAAGTGCTGTCATTATGAGTTGGCCCTAAAAGAGGACAACACAGTGAAGCACCCCTCTTTCCAAACAGAAGATCGGAATCGCCATGAATTTAACTGGGAAAAACGGAAACAACTTGAATTAGAGCAGTCACTCCATAGAAAACATACCCCCGCCCTGTGTTTGTATACCGAAGAAAACACAGGTGTATGATGGGCGATTCTATTATTTTTCACCCTGTGCCTAAATACCGAATAATACACACAGGCCGCGATGATGGGCGATTAGATTATTTTCTTTTATGCTCCGGGGTAAAACCGAATTTCAGTGATCTTGACCTTGTCCTCGTCGTATTCTTCCTCCCAAAATTAAATAATCTCTTTCTTAAGGTATTATGCACAAATATGATTATCCATTCCTTAGTTTTTGCATAATTTTGCTAATAGACAGACAGACGGCGATGAATATATAACCTCCTTAGCGGAGGTAATTAAATAAATTCCAGTTATCGTTTAATGGAGGAAGGGATCAACTTATTGATGGCGCCAGTGGATGAAGAGGAGTGAGTGTCATCGAAAAGGGTTCACTAATTAGGCCTAAGAAATAATAATAAATAAATGTGTCTAAATCTGTGTTACATCCAACCTCCTAAAAGCTAGATTTTTGGAAATCTGGAGCTTTTGCTAATGAAAGAACAATGTGTTCTAATACTGTTTATCAGTACTGTTTATTTCTTTACAAATATGAAATATAATACTAGAAATATGTTCACACCTATAACGGCTAAATGACTGATATGGTTATACACCTATAGTGGTTTTTCACAGCGGTTGTAAGTCTGCTTATCAATTGGAGGTATGCTCAATTCCTCACCGTGAATTTTTCTCGTGTCCTTGGCACTTTACTTACGGGTTTGTATCTCTCCACCCCGGAGTGGGAACCTGCTATGTACAAACAGAAATTGCGCTGATTTATTTACACCTAGCTTCAAAATCAAGGAGTTCAACGCTGGGAGTGTGCCATTGTGCTTGATCCATGATCGGGTGTAATGATGTGAAGCGCTTAGAGGTCTTGCTTGCATGAAGTGCTATAATTTTCAGGCTAACATATTAAGGCTAACATATGTCTATGCTTATTGTAGGCCACCAAAAATTTTGTAATGCCGTTTGGAGTGCATAAATCTACAATGTATTGTATTTTTCACAAACTTGGTTCGATGTAACCATTGTAACAGCTAAATTTATGCAATAGGCCTCCATGATAAAAACATTCAACAGCCTAGGCCAAAAATTTAAGACTTATTTAAGTCAATAAATAAGTCACCAAAGATGATCTTATCACGATTTCGTATAGTGGGCAAGAATAAAAAAAATTATTCGTGAGAGTCCTATTTATGTTTAAATGTACAATTAAACATGTCTAAGGAGTTTAAAGAGAGTCAAATTCGAGCGGGGCGCTTATAATTGTGTAAAAAAACTGCAACCTAGCGGTGTGTTTAATGATACGTGCTTGGCCTATACTGCCCCAACATGACAAAAGGAAGGAATGATGTTTGCATTGCTTTGAGTAATTAAGGAATATGGAGCATGTTGATTTTGTCCCCTGCTTCCTTTTCTGGTGGTTTTTACTGTATTTTTAGTCTCTTACTTCCTTTTTGTGTTGCTAATTACTTTTTAATGAGTGGGATTTGAACATACTCAAATATATCAATATGTTTCAAATTATTAGTTCTTTGATGGTGACTAAAAAAACTCGTTTTTGAAAAATTGTCAGTTACTTCCTTTTGTCATGGTGGGGCAGTATAGAAAGCCCGTATTCCTACAATCGAATACAACCTCGTTATTCTGTGTAGTACACTGTGTAATAACTTAATAAATAATATGTCAGTTTTAAGGCTTGGATGCCAAAGCCTCCTTTCAAACAATTAAGGTTTTGAAAATAGGTAGACTAGTACGTCTTGTATGTATGTTAATCAGCAAATACATAAAATACATGAATGAAGATGTAAAGATTTACCCAGCGGAAGGAACGATAGCAAACTTATTAAAGCTGGAAGTAAGCATGTCTGGGTAAGGTGTCTGCAACAAGCGAGCCCTGCTAAACCAGTTCATCTTATTACTCCCGACACCGTTAAATATCAATGTCATCACTTCTTCGCCGTCGTCATAGAAAGCAAATTTGACCTACGAATAAATAGACTGGTTGGTTAGAGAGTGTGTTCTAAATACCTGCGTCATTGAAAGTTTAAAAAAGAAAACTTTAATTCTGAATTACTTATTTATCCTCAAAGATACTCTCTGAGAGAACAAGTTACACAAGTTACCTTCTTGATGTCTAGGGCACCCCAATTTTCCACCAATGAACTTTTGTAAGGAGCAGAAAAAGTGCCGTCCACTTTCTTTGCATCAGCAACATCAGCATTTAACGTCGTTGCACCTTTCCACAAATCTAGCAGGTTAGGATTAGCAACCCCTGCGTTTCCTCTGAATACAACTTCCCAATCTGTGGAAATTAATTGAGATTTATAACGGGCTTAATGAAGGCACTCCCTAACCGGATATGCGTCCAGAAAATAAGCACAAAGAATTATAGAACTAATCTGGTTAATAGATTGTAATCCCTTATATGATTAAATAAAATATATGTATACATAGGCCTATATAGTAAAATAGATAGAATGGATACCCAGAGAAAGTAAAAGAAATAGAGGAAGACAGAAACAGAGGTGGAGAGATGACTTGACAAAATACAGGAATATTGGTTTAAAGAAACATCAGACAGAAAGAGGTGGAAGAGTTTATAGGAATGTTCAACAGTGGACTAAGGAACCCTGAAGTAAGTAAGTAAGTAGTATATAGTCAAAAAACGGCCAAATATTTAAGAAATATTTCCAATCACTGAAACATGTTTCTGAAGTTCTATTCTTAATTCGTCACCTACACCACCAAGAGACCCAAACATTAAAAAACATATTTTTTCATTGTTCTTTTCTTTGACACTTTCATTGTGTACCCCGAATTCTACTTTTTCACATACTTGTTAAGAGTACAACTACTAGATAAGGTCTGGCTAGATTCCCGAATTTTCCTAGGCATAGCGGTATCCTCCTTGCAGTGTAACTTGGAATGGGTCTATACACATGCAGTCAATCATGTGTGGAATTGTTAGTAAAAAGGTTTAGCAGGATAAACCTAGTTTGAGGCTTATGATCACCCTTGACTACAATATGTGTAAAAACAAAATGGAATACAGTGAGAGCTTTTGGAAAGAAAATCAGAAGGTAAAAGAGGGAGGGGAAGGCCAAGAACAAACTGGATGACCAACATGAAGGAATAGACACTGATGAAGTATGGAGAATGTGTGAGAGGGGCGAAAGGTATAGAGAAGGATGAAGATTTATGGTCGTCAAACTGCTGAGAGCAGATGGCACCGACAGGCAGGCAGACACACACACATCCACACCCACACACACACACACACACGAATAGTTTTGTAAATTGGCAACACAGGATAACCAAAAGTATACTGAAATATTATTGTCCAGCGGCTTTCCAAACCGATAGAGAAACAAACATAAAAGAAACATTAGAATGGGATAAAATTACTCCTATAATTACTCTTAAATATATTAATTTACGCCTATATAAAAATGTATTAAGAGAAAAATAAAATTAACACAAAATTCACAGATATGAAATTGTTTATCATTCGTTTGCCTAAATAAGTTTTTCTGCAAGTGGGAAAGAAAAATACTATGGTTGTTGAGAAACAAGTTAAGCTCAGAGGGTAAAAATATCCATTATTAAGTTGAAAACTGTATTTTTTAAATTTTTTTTTTCCAAACATATTTATACAGTGTTAAAACATATCAGGTAGTTGTTAAAGGCTGTTTTTCATATGCTCCTGTTCAATCTTATACTAGGGTTATATAACAAATATTATCAATAAATATTACATATATATAATAAAGCAGAAAAATGGATGGTAAAAGTGCGCTGCCAATATTTTACATGCGCGCTAGATACCGTTTAACATTTTTAATGATATTATAGCGATTATTGTGGAGTGTATGTAATTAAATGTTGAATATAGTAATTAATTGTGTTGGTCTTTGTTATTGTGTTTGTGTTATCCCCAGTATCACCAAGTTCCAGTACCTTGTTGATTGTGAAAAATATTTCGGCACCATATGATCGTCTCTCCGAAATTAGAGGTGACAATATATAAAACCACATATTAAATAGTTTCAATTTTTTTTTTCAAAGTTAAAATACCAAAATAAGTCCGCTATTAATGTTGATCCTGTACTTCATCTAAGTAAATGCCTTCAGAATGCTATTTCAACATAGGCGTAGATCCCCTAAAATGTAAATACCTGTCTCTTATACACATCTAGATGTGTATAAGAGACAGGTGCATTGTATCATTCCCCCCAATATTTTGACTATGTATGGGATAAAATGGAGATTTACACACTTCAAAAGACTGTCACAGAAATAATGTGCACTGTATTATGCGCTTACAAAGATGAAAATTAGCATAATGTATTAATGTTGATAACAAAATTATTTTATCTGGTACCAATCTAAGCTCTTCTTTCCTTAGATGTTAGATGTGCTGGCAAAGAAAGCCACATTTCACACTGAAGGGTGTGTACGACATCAGTAATGTTATGTCAATTCCAAGAATGTTTAAGGTTATATCGGTTGAAGATGAGAAATTTATTGATTAGGCCTATAATAGCAAATTGCATCAATTTATTTTGCATAAACAAGGTTTCCAGCTTCAGAGTGGGGCACATCTCCTGTCTGCACAAGGGCACATATTGGTGCTAACACCAGGCGCGTAACAGGGGTCTTGGGTCAGAGTGGGTATTTATTTTTTTTTTTTTTATTTATTTTTTTTTTTATAGAGGGTAACTCTTCTAGTTTAGCCCAGTAGGTTAACTGATATTCAGGACCCTCTTTAATAACATTAAAGAACAGTACAAGTAACATCATTACAACATAATAATAATAACAACAACAACAACAACAATCCTCATTCACCATCTATACACATTGAGGCCCTTCTTTTAGGTTAAAATGGTCTATCTTAAATTTGTCCTTCTTGAGTTTGGGACTATCATGTGTTTAAATAACTTAATAGTATAAAACTAAAAAAGCCCTTAAAAAAATGCGGGCCATGCGTGCAAAATATTTTTGTGTTTTTAATTCTAATTTCGTCGGAATTGATGAAAACACCCTAAAATGTACAATTTATAGAGAATTGGCCTACCGTAACAAGAAATGCGCGCAAAGAATTTGAGAATTTTAGGCACTTTCAGAGGATGCATTTGTCAAGGGGTAGAGGAAGATTTTCCAATGATGGATATTCTCCCCTTGTAGTGTTTTTAATGTTAATTTCGTTGGAATTGATCAAATCTCCCTAAAATGTGCAATTTTTAGAGGAAATTGGTCCATGTTAACAAGAAATGCGCGCGAAATTTGAGGTTTTTAGGCACTTTCAGGGGATGAAAAGGCATTTATAAAGTGGTGGGAAAGATTTTTCAAAGATAGATATTTTCACCTTGTTCCCCAGTGGTTACGCCATCGGGCAGCATAAATCAAAGGAGTTATGGCAGTTTTTAAAGTGGAGAAGGGGTTGCAGGGTGTTGTGAGTCTGGTCATTATGATATCTTCCTTTTTATTCTTGTCTTTATTTTTCTCTTTTTCTTTCCTTTTCTTTTCCTCTTCTTTCTCTTTCCCTCAACCTCCCCTATTTCTTTTCTCTTATTACCCAGCCCGGTACGACGGCTTGGTCAACCCGGTAAAACCGTCAGGGGAGGGGCAGTTTCCCCCTCCCCCCGCCCCCGCGCCTGTTACGACGCCAATCATCCCCCCAATGAAAAATATTTTTCTACGCCACTGTATTTCCAATACTTAAAGCAAATTGTTTATCTCGGTTGAAGATTGCAAAAAGAATGTCAACATTACATCCAAAGTTAAGTCTTCATCGATAGTGTTGTTGTACTCAGCCAAACATGTATACTGTCCAATAATAGAAACGTCATAAATGGCTTTACCTTAACCTTCAACCTCAGTCTTGTTAACGTAATGCACTACGCTTATGTCGGAAGAATATCCATAGTGTGTATTTTTTTTATTTTTTTTTTTTAGAAAACTTCAAACATTAATGTTTTATAGAAACTCTACACCAAACTCACCTGAAAATCGTGGCCCACTAAGTCTGGCTTCAATTCTGGATAGTTGAGATGATATTGTGTCAAGTTTAGTAGACACAAGCGGACAACACCCAGCATCATCTCCGTTGAACACATTGACAACAGGAGGGCTACACTCTTCCGAAAATGCAAGAGAAAGGCAGCAGCAGAAAGCAAGTACAGACGTCAGTCCCATCATTTAGCGTTCAATCAAAGATGTAAAAAGAAATATCCGTAGATGATACGCCTCTTGAAGCAAGTTTATTGTGAATTAAATAGTGTAAGGGATCTCGCAACTGATTGGTTAAAAACAATAAACGTGTTTTAACGAATCACAGAACAGAACGGTAACTAATAATCCTATATCTGCCTAAAACGACCCTGGTATTGTTTAAACAAAATGAGTACCAAAAATAGCGAAGCAATAATTTGCCTGGGAAAATGTAACATTACCAAGCTTAGAGATTTGAAATGCGTGACTATAATGCGGTGTGTGTGGGGGTGGGGGTCCAGCGGCGGAGCCCGGATTTGAGTCAATCGACGGTTGGTTGTGACAATGAATGCACAAGATCGCGCGCACCTCATTTTACTAAGTGCGTGGTTGGCTGAGTTATTTTGGTCGAAAAAGAGAAATTTTCTCGGTGAATTGATTATCGAACGACATAACGAAAGCTCTCTAATGACTCAAGTTAGGCCTAGGCCTACTGTATGACCGTTTTTATATTTTTAATTAAACCAGTTTCTTCTTATTTTAAATACATTTTCCCATGAATTCGTAATAATTCGTTATCATGCATAGACTTTTGCTAAATGCGTTACAAATTTATGATCACGCATGTGTTTCGGCAGAATGCGTGTTTCATCCAAAATCACATTGAAATGCGGGACCGTCGTCCACGATGCGAGACGGTTGGTAACTATGATGTAATAGGGCCTAATAATAATAATAAAAATAATAATAATAATAACAACAACAATGATAGCGATAGCAGTATCATTTATCATTTGCAATAACATTAGCAATAGTAGACCATTTGGACAACTCAATAATATCAACAATTCTCGGTTTTGTTAGCTGTATAATAATCCGTATATAGTTAATATTTATCCGAGTACGTTTTTCTGACCTGAATAAATTCAAACATATATTAATTACTTAAAAAAATTATCCATAATAAATTTCAAATAATTATGAAGTAATAATATATAAATATAAAATGTACCGTATTTTTTTAAACTGAAAGAAGTAAAAAAAGAATTTAATATCCAAGATCCAGGTTTCAACGACCATGACTGGAGTCAAGGTGTTGCATATAGGCTTATAATAAGGATACAAAAGAGTCTCCGACCCCGACACTCCCAAATCACAAAAGTACAAATTTCCGGGACCCAGCGAAAGTTCTCCGGCTGAAAGCTTAAATTATTAATGCCACCAGGATACAAGAATTAACAGATTGTTTTTTGTTTTTTGTTAAAAACGCGTTGGAATCCCTAAATTCTTTATTTTCGTTACAGCACGGCGGGATTAAATCAAAACGGATGAATCGCTCCATGGAGTGATTAAAATAGAAAGCGCATGCGGTTATGCGGAGACACCCGCGGAACGCAACCGCCACCGCACTAATGGAATCACTCTCAATTAAAACATTTATTTCAATTCAATTCAATTTATTTTCACTTGTTCAAATGTTATGGATAACAGATAAAATGAGAAAAGGCTTAACAAAAAATATCATTACTAAGTAAACAAAATGTAACATATTAACGAAATGTCTTATCTTTTTTATCTTTTTCGAAATGTTAACGTTTGTTAATCTGCGAATACTCCTAAGCCGCATCAGACTGGTTTTCAGCCCAACCGAGTCGAGTCAATCAACGATGCAACGGTCACTAAACATAGCACTGACCAGCACTTACGCAGGCCTAGCTAATGCAACTTATGTATTTGCCGTAATCAACAACAAATAATTATCAATTTTGATATTAAATAAAATGAAATGAAATTAACAGTAAAAAAAAACTGAATTTAATATTTTTGCCTCTAAAATTGAACTAAAATGGTTAATTGATTCCAAATTTCGATAAATGGTTTAATTGTTAAAGAGAATAATATATTTACTATCTCGGGGTAAATATCGATAGTTACAGTTAGCTGTAACTTAATTGCCAATGATATAATAAAAAAAGTCAACTCTAGACTTACACGCCTATTAAATTCCGTGTATATGACAGGTAAACGCACGGCTTTACACCATATCATCATATCATATCATTTATTTCGCCTCAGTTAAAATTACAAAAATTACAAAGACATTGCACAAACAAAGGTAAATCAATGAGGCAGGATTGCCTAAATGTTATAAATAAAATAACAGTCGAGAGGCTCTCCACAAAGAAATACCATACACAAAAATGTAACATGAAAGTTAAAATTTAAAAATCAGTATAAAAAGTTACATTGCATTATTAAAATTTAAATATATAAAAATTCCAATCTTTAAGTATTTTTAAAACAGTAAAATTGAGATAAAATATTGGTAAAAATTGCATTTTATTTTATTTAAAACATTAGGCTAGGTCAGTAAGGTATTTTTTAAAGTTATATTTAAAAATATTATAATTAGTTAATAATAATTGATCACCGAGATCCACAGGCAGGCCTCTGAAAAGTCTGATAAAACGAATTAAAAACAGAATGATGAAAGCTGTCAGTCCGAGCGATGAAATTATTACGTAACTTAAGATGGTCAGCGTGTCTGGAATTTACAGACATATATTTAAAAACATCCAAATCATACATGTTATATAAACATTTAGCTACAAAATTAATACAAAAATAGTCAATACGATTACTAATGGAAATGAGATTAAGACGCTTTAAACGTTCAGAGTACGGGATACTGCCAGTGGATCTCGGAAAGCAGATACGCGTAACTCGTCTTTGAACGGACTCAAGAGTAGCAATATCTTTTTTATAGAATGGAATCCAGGCAGGAATACCGTAATCTATAAAAGGCCTAACTACAGCTACGTACAACCTCAAAATTATATCTTTATCGTGACATTTAACGATACGTCTCACAAAACCTAACATGCGGTTGCTTTTAGACCTAATATATTGGACATGTTCATCCCAAGTAAGTTTACTATTCAAGTTAATGCCAAGATACTTTACAGAACTGGTGACTGGAAGTCTAGCATTTCCAATAAAATAATCACTAGCCCGTTCAAGACGATTTCTGGATCTAGTCAGGTGCATCACCATACATTTATCAATATTTAGTATGGTAACATTTTATTTCTCACACACCAGTTAGTAATAGCATGAAGATCAGATTGTAAAATATATTCATCATTATTATTATTATCATTATTATCATTATTATTGTTATTATTAGGCCTATTATTATTATTATTATTATTATTATTATTATTATTATTATTATTATTATTATTATTATTTCTGATGACTCTATAGATTAGTGTATCATCAGCATATTGATATATCTGTGATTGAATGCAGGAAGGGAGGTCGGACACAAAGAAATTAAAGAGGATTGGCCCAATCACTGATCCCTGCGGGACTCCGGATTTAACCAATGTATCCTCAGATGTTGCACCTCTAAATTTAACTCTCTGTGATCTATAGGACAGGTAAGATCTAAACCAGTCCAGCATTGAATCACAGATACCATAATTATAATTATAATTATCCATTATAATGAGAAATGTCCATGATGAGTGTTTCGTCGCAGAAATCTAGGCCTAATTTGAATCAGTAGTAGTCCCGGCCGACTATCCCTTTGCCTGGATTGGTTAAGATATACCAGGGAGGGCCTGGTCAGATTCAGCTCAAACAACTCAAAAAAACATTTTGTATTGCCGATAAATGCAAAACGTAAATGATGTACGGGCCCTTCATAATCCAATTGCCTCGTACATTTAGATGCAATACAAATGTATATCAATAATAAGGCATACATGATTACTGTACTTGCGTACCAGGCTAGAGAGCTACAAGTGAACACGTCTTGCTCCGACGAAAGCCAATACAAGCCACAGGGGGTCCCCGCATTCGAGCACAAACTTATAAATCATTATATATGGTAATGCTAATTTGACGGAGATTGGTTAGCCCCATCCCCATAGACACACTTTGCTCGGAAAAAGCATCCCTATTGAAAATTGTGCCTAGGCCCGCACTATGTTTATGTGACAATACCAAAGTTTTCAGTTTATCAATCATTTAATATGTGAGCTATATTATTATTATATATTTATATTAATGGTACAGCTTAATGGTCTTCAGGTAGTGGTTAATTCTTCCGGGAATTAAATACAAAGCTATTTCGAAAAGAAATTAATGATGCTATTTTCAAGATTTACTATTCCATTCTTACCTCAGCCTCAATCATAGTTGGGACTGATAGTGGAACGTACACGCAAGCCAACATACCTGTAAACTTCACAGGGGTAAACCTTGGGTTCATTTTCACACGGGTGTGGATGTTTTAGATGAAGGAAGGTCACACATTGGTGGCTCCAAAGTTTTGCCGTCATGTCCAACAGAGGGGTCTGAACTAATGGGCCGACTAGACCCTTGGTCAGGGTTCCGAAATAATAAATCCCTGATAGGGTTGGTTCACAGAGATAGTTGTTATAAGTATGTCCCAAATATTTATTTAGATAGGCAAATTAACATTTAGGCCACGACTTTGTTGTGGTGTCGTATGACAGGGTCCAGACCTGTCCAAAGGAGAGGGAATGACCCTAGTGGTTTTTATTTCATAGATTTACAATATTTATAATAATCATTGAACAGGTTCTGCGTTAGTTGACATAAAATACATGAACAGAGAGAAATCTTTAATCAAACTAAGAAAACAATTTAATCAAGCAATAACTTATACAACACAATAGAATCAGCTGAGTAATATAAGAAGTGTTTATTCATATTAATAATAATAATAACAATAATAATAATAATAATAATAATAATAATAATAATAATAATAATAATATTAATAATAAATAATAATAATAATATAAATAATAATAATAATAATAATAATAATAATAATAATAATAATATATCAGACTTATAACGCTTAATGCCAGCAAGGCCTCTAAGCGAGTCACATTAGTATCGTAGGTTTGTACGTTTTAATTTAAATTTAGTACTCTTTTTAAGATCATGTAATTCAGCTGTTTAGTTAAATCTATAGACACATGAGATATTTT